AAAAAATATAAAAAAAATTTAAGTTAAAAAATAAATAAGTAAACCTTTTTTTTCCAGGTTCATAATTTATTGTATAAATTGAGTATTACATGATGAGTTGACATTAGCTTCTCCAGGCATGGGACTTAACAAATGAGGTTGGACATTTCAGAATCCATTTATGCTGCTTTCACAGCTGGAGTTCTTTTTTTAGGCCTTAACTTGAAGTATAACAAAGCAATGCCTCCATATGTGGCCATAATCATTCTACCAGTGAGAGTGTAAGAGTTGAAATATTTTTTAATACCATTGAACTGGAATTGGCCTTCAGTTTCTGGACCTGCCATGACTTTGATCTTGGTCAAGTCACAGATTCCGCAGCCGACATCCTTCAATGAACCCAGCCACCAACTCCAGCCGGAAAAATAAAATAAAATAAAATAAAATAAATCTTTTAAAAAAGAAAAGAGACAAGGCCCACCGGCTCATGGCACTTATATCCTGGAGGCAGGGTAGCAGAAGGTAAGCAAATCAGTAGATAAATTAGCAAGAGAGTTTCAGACACTAATAAGTCATGACTCATATTTCATACTTTCCCCTCACTGTCTCATAGCAGACAGAGGTGATTAATCAAAGCAGTCCTTCCTCCTGAGCCCAAACTCAAGAATCATAACCCTTCTCCGTATGGCATTCCAAGCATGTGAAATCCATCAGAGTTGTCACATCAGTGAAGTTTAGTTACCATCCTAGGCTTAGATTCTTCTGTAAGATAGTTCTTTTCAAGTTCCAAGAGCTAGCTCTGGCAAATAGAATCCCAGGTCAACATCAATATTTCTCAATATTCCCACAATTTCATATCCCTCTCCTCTCTCCCTCTCCCTCCCCCTCTTCCTCTCCCTCCCTCTCTACTCCCTATCTCACTCCCTCTCCCTCCCTCTCTCTACTCCCTACCTCACTCCCTCTCCCTCCCCCTCTCTTTCTAGCTCTGTGTATATGTGTATATATGTTTATCTTGGAAACAACAAAATTACATGTCAGCTAAACAAAACTAATTCTGTTCCTTTCAAATGATGTCTTCTAAAAAAAACTGTCCTTTTTTTCTAGAAAGTCTCATCTATCATGCATCCCAAACTGCCCTCAACTTACTATGTAGCTGAGGATGATCTTGAATTTCTGATCCTCCTTCTACCTCCTGAATACTGAGATAACAAAAGCATTCACCACTACACCTGGGTCATTCTTGTTTTTTGAGAATTTTTTTTTTTTTTGTCTTTTTGAGACAGGGTCTCCCTATAGCTCCAGCTGTCCTGGAACTCACTATGTAGACCAGGCTGGCCTTGAACTCACAGAGATCTGCCTGCCTCTGCCTCCCGACTGCTGGGATTAAAGGCATGCACCAGAATTTTACACATTAGTACAATGTATTTTTAATATTTTTATTGAGTCTTTGAGAATTTTATACAATGTATTTTGATTCTATTAAGACTCCCATCTCCACCCCAACCCTACACACACACACACACACACACACACACACTTCATGTCCTCTATTATTACTTTCTTTTTTTAAAGGCCTATTGAGTCTAATTTGTGTTACCCAAATGCTCTTGGGTGTGAGCCCATCCCTTGGAGTCTGGTCAACCTACAAGGCATCACATACTTAAAGAAAATTACCTCTCCCAATCCCAGAAGCTATCAATTGCCAATAGTTCCTCAACTAGGGCTGGGGATTCTGTCCATCTCCCCATTTGACTTGGACTTGCACAGGTCTTGGAAATACTGTCACAGGTGCTTAGGGTTCATATGTGCAACTACCTTGTTATGTCCAGACAACACTGTTCCCTTGTTTTCAGCTACCACCACCTCTGGCCTCTACAGTCTTCTTATTGCCTCTTCCACAGTGATCCCTGAGCCTTGAGAAAAGTGGATGGGATAGATATGCCTTTTAGGGCTGAGCAATGTGTTTTCATCATTTCTACCCCTCCCTCCCAATCCGACCCTTCCCATGCACCACACACATCTGCCTCTCAAATGCATGTCTTCTCTTCTATAATTATTATCATATTGTGTATATAACTATATGTTATGTTTTATTATATATTATATATTTATATAATGATCCCACAGTGTTGGTGCTGGAAACAGAACTCAGTCCTCTGGAAGAGCCAGAAGCCCATCTCTCCAGCCCCAATGTGTAGATTTTTACTAAGCATGTGAAAGGCTCTGAGTTTGAGCTCAACCATCATTTTAAAAGAATAAGAGAGGCCTTTGACTGGGAATGGCAGAGGAGAGTAATACAGAGGGAGAAGGATGGAGGAGAGATAAATAATACTAAGGATGTCTGAAAAAGTCACAGGAAAACATTACTTTGTAAGCTTACATAAAAATACATATATAATATACATGTTCTCTTTTCTGCTTTTATAAGTAAAATAGCTCCTCAAACCCATCAAGGATATATATACATATATACATATATATGTATGTGTACATATGTATATATATGTGTGTGTGTGTGTATTGCTGCTCCAAGTGATAAATTTCTTTTATCTCTGATGTCTTCTGTTTCCATTATGATAGAAGATTCACTTCAGTGTCTGCTTGTGTTACTTTTTTTGTGTCTGCTTTGTTTTGAGGAGTATGTTTTCTGTGTGTGTGTGTGTGTGTGTGTATTTTTATTTAGCATGCAGAATTACATGAAAGTGAAATCATTCATTTTTAGTGATTAAATGTGTTCTTTGAGCCAGGCGTGGTGACGCACGCCTTTAATCCCAGCACTCAGGAGGCAGAGGCAGGTGGATCCTTGTGAGTTCAAGGCCAGCCTGGTCTACATAGTGAGTTCAGGTCAGCTGGGTCTACAGGAAGACCCTGTCTCAAAAAGACAAAAAAAAAAAAAAAACGTTCTTTGAGAGTTTCATAGATGTCTATAGTGTATTCGACTTACTGTGACCCCCCCACCTCACTTCTCTCCCTCCCACCTCTAATGTTGCCCCACTCTTCCCTAAGGTTCCTTTCCCACATTCAGGACTTTCTGTTTTGTTTTCTAACCCTTTGATTTTAACCAAGACAGTCTGTGTGACATGAGTGTAGAACTTTCCATTGGTGTCTCACCATTGGGTACACAACTGAAGGCAAGGCCTATCCCTTCCCCAAAATCTACTAGTTGCCAATAGTTCAGCAGGAAGGGATAAGGCCCCATGAGCCCCTCATTAATCGGTGATTGGCTGTTGACAGCCCCAATCTTGTGCAGGTCCAGTGCAAGCAACTTCAGCTGTCGTAAAATCACATTTGTAAAGTCTGTGTCTGAAGACAGCATTTTACTTCTTTCCCCCTATTGTCCAGCACTTACATTTGTTCTGTTATCTTGACTGCAATGTTCTCCAAGCCTTAGAGAGGGTGGTATAAATGTCTTATTTAGGATGAACACTAAATAATCATTTATTCTAAACATCTTGAATAGTCATGAGTCTCTGCATTCACTACAAAGAGAAGCTTCTTTGATTAAGGATGAAAGTGATTTGTCTATGGATATAAGGCATAATAAGCATAAATCTTTAGAAGGCAATTTTTAATATTTTATTTATTTTAATTTTTAATATTTTTATATGTATGAATATATCGCCTACATGTATATAAGTGCACCTGTGTTGTACAATGCCCACGGAGGTTGGAGGTGGGCATTGGATCCCCTGGAACTGGAGTTACAGATGGTTGTTAGCCACCATGTGGGTGCTGGGATTCTAACCTGAGTCCTCTGCAAGAGCAGCCAGTGCTCTTAACCACTAAGCCATTTCTCCAGCTCCTTATTATGTTAATTTTATGTTTATGACTGTATTGCCTGTATGTGTGTAAGCGTACCTTGTCATGCAGTGTCCACGGAGGCCAGAAGAGGGCATCGGATCCGCTGGAACTGGAGTTATGGATGGTTGTTAACCAAAGTGTGGGTGCTGAAAATCAAACCTGGATCTTCTGCAAGAGCAGCCAATGCTCTTAACCAATGAGCCATTTCTCCAACCCCGTGAATGTAGTTTTAACCACACAATATAAAACTTTCTTTTCCCAAGGTATTTATTTTAATTTTCTAAGTATTTCATACATGAGTGCACTATATTTACATTTTACATTATTTTTACTCCTTCTCTCCACCTCCAACCCCTCCCACATCCCACCCATCCCCTCTGAAATTCATGACCTCTTCTATAATTATTACTGTTACATACATGCACCATATTACACACACATATATGGTGTTGTCTTTGTGTACATGTCTTTAGAGCTGGCCAGTTAGGATTGGGAAACTTATCAGGGTACTCATCCCTGAAGAAAACTGACTCTCTGTCCCTCAGCAGCCATTGACTGCCTGTAGCTCTTCATCTGGGATGGGGTCTTATGAAATGTTCCCCCATCTATGTTGGCATGTTGACTAGTATGGTCTTGTGCAAGTCTTGTGCAAGCAACCATATTATATAAAAATTTTTATTTGATTTCTAAACATCAGGAATACAAAATTAATAATTTACAAATGGAACCAATTTTACTAAAAGAAACGACAAAACCAAAACAATATCTGATGTGACTCCATAAAAATTTATGTTGTTAGCTTCTGACTGTTTCAAGACATCCCCATCAGCCCTGTCATTGTCCAGAGGGCTGGGTGCTGGCTAATAACATGAGACAAGAAACCATTTTCAAGCTTTGTGATCAGACAGTCCTTCCACTTGCTCTTCAATAGCCATGGGAGGACATTGGTTTTGCCCCAGTAACTCAGTCAGATGCACATGATGACTCCTGAAAATCAAAGCCAAAAGGGCAAAAGCCACAATCTCATGATAATAAGCCATCTCCAGCTTCGTGGTACCTGTCCTCTGCTTCATAGCCCTGGTTTAGAAGGCAGCACTGACACAGGACATAGGTAAGCCAGTATTGATGGCACTTGCCTAGCGTACGTGAGGACCCACATTCAATTCCCAGTACTGCAAACAAACAAACAAACAAACAGCTCTTTCTCGTGAGCTACAACATGAAATTTAGAATCTCCATTTATTGGGCCAATAAATTTGGTCCACTAAATAAATCAATAAATTTGACCTGCCACAACTTTCTATTTCTTCCAGAACAGAGCTGCTGGTGAAAGTCCAGTCTAAGTGCAGAGTACTGACGTTCTAGCCAAATACCCAAAGGAGAAAAATTCTCCCCGCCTTTGCCTTTTGTCCATTCAGAGCCTCAACAGATTAGGCAGTGCCCATTCACACTGAGGAAGATAATTTCCTTTACAGTCAATAGATTTAAATGCTAATCTCATCTAGAAATGTGCTCACAAAAATCATGTTTAGCTAAATATCTGAGTACCTGTAAACTACTTAAATGGGCATGTAAAAACCATAACACAGCCTATTTCATTATACCAATT